TACCGCTGATGCCCTCCACCCCTCCCTACCGCTGGCGCCCTCCACCCCTCCCTACCTCTGACACCCTGTCCAATCCTCCATATCTCTTACCCCTCCCTACTTCTCTAAGCCCCCTCCATCCCTCTCTATCTCTAAACCTCTTCACTCCTCCCTATCTCTGTAAGCCCCTTTACTCCTCCATATCTCTCTAAACCCGTCCATCCCTCTCTATCTCTAACACCCTCCACTCCTCCCTCTCTCTGTAACCCCCTACACTCCTCCCTATCTCTAACCTCTGCACCCCTCCCTATCTCTGTAATCCCCTCCGGCCTGTACACCCCTCTCTATTTGTGGAGAGAGAAACAGACTCCACATTTCGAGTCCAGTGACCCTTCTTCATTGAGTCAGGACTCATTCAGAGTCCAACCGGACCCGGAACATTAACTGTGTTTCTCTCCACAGATGCAGCCAGACCCGCTGAATTTCTCTAGTGAGCACTGTCTTTTCGTTTGTGTGTTTCTTACCTCCGTTGGCTTTGGAGATGGAAGGGACATAGTTGGGTCTGGCGGGGGGGGGGGGGGGTGTGTGTGTGTGTGTGTGTGTGTGTGTTGAGGGGGGGAACGTTAAGTCAGACGTACTGCAGCGTTGGGCAATTTCCTCTGGGTTTGCTCAGGCTGTGTTGGGATCTGATCCGGTTTTCCTGTCTGTTTCCCAGGATGGAGAGTCACATCCAGCGAGAGGTGGGAGCTCTGAGGTTGTGTGAGGGCCACCCGAGCATTGTCAATCTTCACGAGGTTTTCCAAGACCAGGTGAGCGGGAATGAGGATGGACCCCCCCCCCACGCACCCCCCCACCTCCTCCCCTACCCACACCTCCACTACCCACACGCTGCCTCCCCCACTCCCTAGTCCCACCAATCCTGCCACTTGGAGACTGTAAGGGCTATGGATCTGGAAGCTAGAGTCAATAAATATGAGGCTGGAAAAGCGCAGCAGGTCAGACAGTATCAGGGGAGCAGGACCCCCACTACTCCTCACCCCCAACCCACCGTACCCCTACACTCTGCCTTTATCCACTTCCTGCTCCTCTGCATCCCCCATTCTCCCAACTTCTCACCCACCCCAACCCAACCACTCCCCTACTCACCCACAACTCACTCCAACTACAGCCCATCCCACACCCTCACTGAAAAGAAAAAGTGGTGTTAAACTCGAAAGGGTTCAGAAAAGATTTTACAAGGATGTTGGAGGGTTTGAGCAACAGGGAGAGGCTGAATAGGGCTGGGGCTGTTTTCCCTGGAGTGTCGGAAGCTGAGGGGTGACCTTATAGAGGTTTATAAAATCATGAGGGGCATGGATAGCGTGAATAGTCAAGGTCTTTTCCCCAGGGTAGGGGAGTCCAAAACTAGAGGGGCATGGGTTTAAGGTGAGAGGGGAAAGATTTAAAAGGGACCTGAGGGGCAACGTTTTCACCCAGAGGGTGGTGCGTGTATGGAAGGAGCTGCCAGAAGATGTGGTGGAGGCTGGTACAATTACAACATTTAAAATGCACCTGGAAGGGGTTAGAGGGATATGAGCCAAATGCTGGCAAATGGGACTAGATTAATACAGAATATTGGGTCAGCATGGACTAGTTGTGCCGAAGGGTCTGTTTCTGTCCTGCACAGGTCTATGACTCACTACCCCAACTCACCCCACCCCCCCCACCCCAATGACATCATGCCCCACCCTCACTTACCCCCCCATTTGCCACTAGGAGAGGCAATGGCCTAGCAGTATTATTGCAGAACTGTTAATCCAGAGACCCAGCTAATGTTCTGGGGACCTGGGTTCAAATCCCGCCACGGCAGATGGGAGAATTTGAATCATTAAAAATCTGGAATTAAGAGCCTAATGATGGCCATCGTCGATAAAACCCATCAGGTTCACTAATGTCCTTTAGGGAAGGAAACTGCCATCCTTACCTAGTCTGGGCCTACACGTGACTCCAGCCCCACAGCAATGTGGTTGTCTCCTAACTGCCCTCTGGGCAATTAGGGATGGGGCAATAAATGCTGGCCTGGCCAGCGATGTCCTTATCCTGTGAGCGAATACAAAGAAAACTTACCCCTCCAACTACAGTTCCCCATACTCATTCCTTGCTTTCCAGCATCCATCCCTACTCCCAGCTCATCGCACCACACTCCCCCACTCTCCCAGCTCTCCACAGCCCCACTGCCGAACCCCAACCACAGCTTCTCACATCCTCTACCCCAACCCCCAAACCCTGCATACCAAGTGTTTCAGGCAGAAGCAAAAATCACAATAAGTCTAGGGAACTGACTCTGTGGCTGTCTCTCTCACACAGCGTGTGCTTACGTGTGTTATTGTCTACATGTCTGAATGTGTGTGTTAGCATGTTTATATACACGGCTGTGTTTTATTTCACATGTGACATTTTGACACATTGTGTTTCACGTATGTGTTTCATGTCTGTTTCTCAGGTGTTGTTTTGTGTGTGTGACTTCATGTGTGCATTATATCAGGTGTTATTTCACCATTGTGTTATTTCATGCATGTTATTTCATGTGTACATTATTTCACGTCTATTATTCATACGTGCTTTTCATGTGTGTTTTTTGTACGTTTTTCTTGCATGATATGCATCATGTGTTAGAACATAGAACATAGAACATTACAGCGCAGTACAGGCCCTTCGGCCCTCGATGTTGCGCCGACCTGTGAAACCAATCTGAAGCCCATCTAACCTAAACTATTCCATTATCATCTATATGTTTATCCAATGACCATTTAAATGCCCTTAAAGTTGGCGAGTCTACTACTGTTGCAGGCAGGGCATTCCACACCCTTACTACTCTCTGAGTAAAGAACCTACCTCTGACATCTGTCCTATATCTATCACCCCTCAATTTAAAGCTATGTCCCCTCTTTGTTATTTCATGTGAGCATTACATGTATGATTTTGTGTGCATATTACCATGTTTTTTAATGTATGTTATTTCATGGGTGCATTATGTCATGTGTGTTATTTTGTGTGTGTTATCAGGTGTTTTTCGTGTGTGTGTGTATGTTGTATCGTGTGTTATTTCGTGCACGTGGGGATTTTCACATCTATGTCATTTCATGTGCCTGTTATTCACATGTTTTTGAGCATGTGTTATTTCATGTGTGTGTTATCATGTGTTTTTCACGTGTGTTATTTCGTGTGTTGGTTATTTACGTGCGTTATAGAGCATGTGTGCATTATATCATGTATAGTAAGGACTGCTGATGCTGGAGAATCTGAGATAACAAGGTATAGAACTGGATGAAAATTCTGAAGAAGGGTCTAGGCCCAAAACGTCAGCCTTCCTGCTCCTCTGATGCTGCTTGGCCTGCTGTGTTCATCCAGCTCTACACCTTGTTATCTGCATTATAACGTGTGTCTGCTTTTTTCATGTGTTATTTCGTGTGTGCATTATATCATGTGTCTGTTATTTTGTGTGTTTTTCATGTGTTATTTCATGTGTGTGTTATATCATGTGTCTGTTATTTTGTGCGTGTATTTTTCATGTGTTATTTCATGTGTGTGTTATATCTTGTGTCTGTTATTTTGTGCGTGTATTTTCCATGTGTTATTTCATGTGTGTGTTATATCTTGTGTCTGTTATTTTGTGCGTGTATTTTCCGTGTTATTTCATGTGTGTGTTATTTCATGTGTGTGTTATTTCATGTGTGTGTT